GGGAAGAAAGTGAACCGCCTCCGGCATGCAGAAGCTGTACGCCGAGCATGCCGAGCCTGTCCAGGCCCCGCAATCGACTTATCAAACCTTGACCCCCGCAAGCAGGGTGAGGGTTCCTGGTGGGTTCTCCCCCTCTCCCCTCCCCCCGCCCCCTCTCCCTCCCCCTGCCTCTCCCAAAACCATCAAAACATGACCCGACCCCTGACGGCCTTCTGAGTTTGTCGAAAATGACACGTGTGTGACAACAAGGCCTACAAACAAAAACGATCCCGAAACGCCAAACCAAGTCGGTTTCTGAGCTCCACCCCCATTCTGCAAACGTCGATAACTGTCGAGCATCGGCCACTACATAACATGCATTGGGCTCAACCTGAACTTCAGCACGCTCAAGTTCAACTTGGTGCAACGCTTCCGTCAACTGCTTATCAAAGATAGCATGCAACTTGCCTGGCACCCACTCACGCGCGAGAGAACGGTGGTTTTGACCCCGACTCACATTGCGTGACACTCAATGTCCCAGAATCAATACTATCAAAGCTGCGTGCACAACTTGCTGGTGGCCTCGTCGTCATCCTGGCATCTCTCCTGAAAAGAGACCTGAGTGCACACTTCGCGGACACGCCTCGCGCATAGCAGAAAGGAACTCAAAGCTGGGCTACAGCGAGGTTTGGGGAGGGTGTTGAGCCCCGTCCGTAAGACAACAGCCAGCCCTCCCCCCCCCCCGCCGGATGGGCAAGAATGCCGATCAAGAAACTAATCCGAGCATCTGATTAATTAATACCCCCACATTTAAAGAAATTTGTTTTGGCCGGAAGCCCGCCGGAAGACTACTTTCCATTAGGGTGGATTTCGTATGGGACAAACCCCCACATTTAAAGGAATTTTTTTGGGGGGGGGTTCAAAAATCTGTCGGCAGGCTTCTTGTTTTGCTTGCGGAGACGCAAAGCTACAGCACCTCAGGGATCTGCAGCCTATTGTTTTTAATAGAGAATCAATAGAGGGCCACGGTCCAACTATTGCGGAACCCTGCATTCCTTATTGGGGGGGGGGGGGGGGGCCCCCACCCACTAATCAGAAGCTCGGATTAGCCCAAAAGCAGCTGTCGCAAGAGCAATAAAATTGCTTCACTTCGAACATCCCCACCCTCTGCAACAGGAACCCAAAGCTCGGCCACAGCGAGGGCGTACCTCGCAATGCGCTGGGCCAGAAGTCGGCATCGCCTGGGTCAGAGCGAACAAAAGCAAAAGTAAAAGGGAAAGGCGGGAAAGGGAACGGCTGCAAAAACTCTCGCGTGGCAAGGTTGTTTCGGGTTCACAGCACAAAGTTGAAACCCTTTCCTGGAGATGAACGTAGCTGTTGGTGAAGAAACATGTTGTACAAAGTGGTAAGATGCTTCAAACAGCAGTGTTTTGAGCATGCTCGCGAAAAGGCATGAACACTTGACAGCGCGTCTGGTTGCAGAAACATCAAAGATTCGTCTGCACTATGTTCGTCATGAAAGGCAAGACTGCGTGAGTGGTGCCCCAGTGCCAAAGACCCCGCGACTGGAGCTCAGTCTACATAACTTTTCTTGTCGCGCATTTGGCTGCGTTAGGCAGACTTCAGCAGCATAGGAGCCTCACAACATCTCCCTGCCTGTCTTTGCTGGCAGACTTCATGTAAGCCCTCAGCTGCTGCTCTGCTTCCGCGTAGCTCCGTCTCGGATCGTCGTCAGCTCGCCAAAGGAGCTTCAGGTCGCTGATCAATATCTTCGGGTCCAAACACGGTTGCCGGCTAAGAAGGACTCTGACCAGCAGGGACACCCACCTCTGACGCTGAGGCTTGTCCAGTGCACGCACAACATCCTCAAGATGCTTTGAGCACCTCCATAGCTGCACCAGAGCCGGTTGGCTGATTTCGTCTACCCAGAGGTTCTCCATCCGGCCAAGCATGGCTTCTGCAATCACTTGCTGCACCCAAGGCAGACCACCTCTCACATAGTTGGTAACAATATGGTGAGCAGCTTTCCTCACAGATGCATCCACGTCGCAGCAGCACTCAAGCAGGTCTCGAAGGTTTTCAATAACAATATCCGCCCGCATCACTCTCTGAGAAATCTGTCTTTCTGGCACTTGCCAGCCTCATACACCACCACCGACCTGGGATTTAGAAAGACGCGATACCATTCTGCGAACAAACCTCCGGTCTGGGGAGCATGCTAAGAAACATCAGGTCGAGAGGCACTCACAGTACTTCCTCTCGGCCTTGTTTTTGCAGCCATCGGCATCGAAGGCTTCAGGGTCTCGGATGTGATCGGACAGTTTTGCAGAAAAATCGAGGATCGACTCCGACCTGCGAAGCAGAAGCCACGGCGCATGATTCCCATGCATGTCGCCATGCAGCCAGCTGCTTGCGCAGAAGATGCCAAGACTCACCCGCGCCTATCCAACCTACCCATTTCCTCCAGGTGCTTGATCAAGGCCTTAGGCTCAGGCTGCAGAATGCGCATCCTAGCCTTCCCAGAAGGCCAGCATCTCTCACTGCGCCTTGCACCTTGCGTTGCGCGAAGCAACCGCACCAAGCTCCCTGCCTGAGGACTCGTGGCCTGCCGGGATGTCACGCGACACTCGAGCATGTCATCCACCTTGGGGGGACGGGCAGTGAACCTGCCCCTTGGAGAGTTGTCAGGCGAGTACACATCATTGCACGCCGCTAACTGTCGCAGGCTAGGCGCGGTGAGGTACTGCAACAGATTGGGCCTCGAGCGGCGCGCTAGCCGGCTTCGTGCACAGTCCATGCGCTTGTTCCGTTGCGGTTTTTTGCTGGAGGCCAAGGGGCAAGATGAAGGATGATGGGTCCGATGGGTCCCGAGACTCGTCGTCTGCAGACCTGGGCTGCATCTGCTCCCCTGACAGAAGAATCTTGACAGAAACGCAAGCTAGGAAGACAGGGGGGTATGGGGGGGGGGGGGTATGGGGGGTCCAATTTCCTCCTCATCTCGTCCTCATTTTAAGGATGGAATAAGGCTAGACAAAGGCTGGTCTTATCCCCTCTTCCGTGAAAGCAAGCAGGCCCACCCATAATCCTTGTCGTCAAGTCACTTGCAATGCTCGGCATTCAGGCTTCCGGATTCTTTGCTGGATGGATCCTGAGGGTTGAAGCGCAGCTCTAACCAAATCCCCCGGCCCGACACCTACTGCCTTTGGAAGGGCTACACATGGAACACCATGGGCTCCACTACAGATCGACGGCAAAGCAACGGCATCCAAGGCCCGCACTTCACTCGCCGCATCAAGCAGGTCACTCTCCGATGCGCAAGTCGAAACGCTGAGCCGATCTTGGCAAGGAGGGCGCCTCGGCACATGGCGAGGTGCGAAGGTAACAGCTCCTACTTGGAATCTGGCCTGTCCTGTACTTGAAGGATCATGGGGCTTACCATCTAGTTGCAACACTTAAAGCACTCAGCTTGAAACTTAAAAACACATCCAGCCAGCGTACTCACGAAGTGCCACATGTGAGACTCAGGTAAGTGCACCTGGAGCAGCTAGGTAAACGGGCTACGTCAATTGCACAATTGACGGGGATGAAACATAAGTGCAAAATCCAACGACCGGACATCGAATACGAAGATATTCGCGTACATATTAAGTAGAGCCGGCCAGCGGGTGCGTGGGGGGGTGTTACATGGCAAGACTGCTCTCCTTTCGACCTGTGCACGTTTGTCATGCACAGGCCACATTTGACATGAGACCTAGACAAACGTCAAACGAAAAACAACGGCTGCGTCCGAGTTGCTCTTTGCTGGCAAGGGCTTCGTCCAAACTTCCACACGACGACTCCATGTCCTGCCCGCATTGTCTGGGATTGCACTCGCTCTACTTGCCAACTCAGGACTCACTCACCCAAGCTGCATGTGTTCACACAATGACCCATTGAGGGCTCGCTGAGTGTATCTGTACGTCGCCCTAGGCGCACATACACCATACTGACGAACCCTGATGCGCACAGCCGTCCCTTGGCCAACTTACGCATGCCCATGTTACGACAATGGCCAGCGACGCACGTCTGCTCTTCTCGCATACCGGTAAGGAACAGGAGAAAGACGCAGCACTCAACTCGTGAAGGTGCCAAACATAAATCCAAATCTGAGGGGCCTCGGAATTCCCAGCAGCCCCATGCACGCAGCCCCATACTCTCCAAATAGACTCTCTCTCAACCTTTTTAGGGGTTCATCCATCGGCTTGCGACGAATCCCAAGATTAAATTAACAACGTACACTCACGTCCAGGAGCCTCTTCTTGCAAAGCGTCCAAAGCCACTGCTGGAATGGTGGCGCGGCATATCCTGAACGGGAGGCAAGCAGTTCAAAGCGCCTTCCTCATCTTGATGAAAAATCCGGCGGCAGCAGCAGCAGCAGCGGCAGGACTGCTCAGGAGCACTCAGGCAACGGCTCGCATGGCTGGTGCTTCTGCGTCTCCAGCCACTGCTCCAGGTCAGACGGCTGGTTTCGCCTGAGTTCCAGCTCAGACGCCAATTTCGCGTCGAGCGCGACTGACCTGGGTCAACGTGCGGAACGTGTGCAGCGTGCAAACTAGTGAGCATACAAACTAGTGATCTTCGAGAAGCAAAATGTCCATGGCGCTCCATGTCGGGCGAGTAGCTCGTGTCTACTGCAGCGAGCGCCGCTGCCGGCCTCACGAGTTTGCTCCAGCTCTTCTTGGAGTGCACAGCACCTGGGCTTCGTGCTGACAACCAAAAGCCGTTGAACTTGGGGACTGGGAAGGGTCCGTCCTTCTTGTTTGGCCCAGGGCCTGGGCCCCTGGCACAAATACACGATTCCCTGCCTCACGAAACTTGGCACTGCAGAACCCGATGCGGACCCTACACCTATGAGGCCATTCATAAGCTCCCCGCTTCAAGGAAGGACATCTGATTCTTGGAACAAGAAACAAGTGAAATGCCTGTACAGCCAGTCTTCCCTTGCGACCCTGGCTTCTTAGGGACGGGTGCTTTGTCACAGCAGAACAGGAGGAAAAGGCCAAGCACAATCTCAAGGTGGTGCTACAACCCTGACTGAGCGGAACTCCACATCTTAAGCATCAATTACTTTCTTGTGACCTGTGAACCCGCGTCCACCCCACTTTAAGCAACGAGGAAGCCATGCGGGAAGCCATTCTGGCCGTTTCTGCTGGTTGTGAGCTCAAGCTTCTGGTGTCAGGGTCCGCGCTAGGCTTCCGCTTGAAGCGGGCACGTCTCCCTGTCACGCCGAGGGGCTTGGACTGGAATCCAAGGGCGCGCTTCTCAGCATTGTCCAGCGCTTGCCACAGCATCTCCATCTCCACCTCCGCGCACCTCGGATGGGCAAGTTGGCACATTACAGTTGCTGGCCGACCACGAAGGCGCAAAGGCGCGTGCAAAACAATCGAAACACAAGCTTCTGCACTCGGCCCTGCAGATCTTGAAGGTCCTACGTCTCGCACCGCACCCATATTCCTTCAGCGGCCTCTGACTGCCGGCGGAAATCGCATGTAAACGTCGGCGCAAGTCGTATCTGGACGAGATACTGGGGCGCATTGGCACCGGGCACGGAAGTGGAAGGAGCACAGCAGGACCTCAGCAACTTGCGCAGAGTACAAACTTGGATGCTGGAAGGCAGAATATACGTCATCCGAGAGATGATAAGGACAAAAAAATTTTAAAAACATTGCAGCCTGGCGACAGCATGGCCAACAACACGGCCCCTTCGGACTGATTCCTGAGGGGCCGACTCATGCCACAGCGCATGACTGCGTGCGTGCATGAGCGTGCATGGTCGTGCGCGTGTGCGTGTGCGCGTGCACGCGTGTGCGCGGCGTTCACCTGTGTACGGTTTGCATACTCTGTGTGTGGGTGTGTGCGTGTGTGCCTGGTGATTGGTGATGAGCTGTATGAAAGCTGCAGGCAAGGTGCGTGAGGTCCGGCCCCGCCGTGCCCGCCATGGCCAAGGCGCAGGGGACACAACACGCCGACCGAACAAACAGGGAGTTGAGTGCTACATCTTGGCCATACGCAGAACTCCCTCAGCCGTGCCTTCAGAGCTAGGAACAGCTAGCAGCCTTTAGTAGCGGGGCGTGGGACTTTTGGTCTTAAAGCGCAGATCGAGAAATCGCTGTCAGTGTCGTGTTCGTGCGCTAGCACCAGCAATGCCTGAGCAACACGTGAGCTTCGAAACTTGGATTCATAAGTTGCTCGAAAACCAAAATGAAGATCGTGTCTGTAGCTATAAAGTCTATTGCACGTGCGTTCTGTTGATTGGCAGATCTTGGAAAGCTGCGCACGCAGAGCAAGATCTTCATCGTGCAGTAGTTTTGGAATGCAGTCTCTCTCCAGCGGAAGAGAACTACAAGAAGAGCAACTAATACATCGATGACCTGCCGGGCCTTCCAATGTCACCGAAGCTGCTGCAGCTTCTGTACCTCATCTAATAATGAAGATCCCGAAAAAGCAGTGCAAGAATCCAAGAATATTCTTGAAGGGGTATGTATTGGGGCTTCCTAGGGTGAAGCCTTCATAAAGTCTGAGCCCTTGTTGAGTCTAATCCCCCCCTCCCTTAACCTAAGCCCTTCACACCCTATGCAGCATGGCCGTTAGACCAAAAACGCTAAACAAGGTGAAGGTTGGGATGTTCACCCTTGTACTAACAGTCCTTGATCGGGATTATAGTACCCCCGCTTGTATATACCCCTATTAAGGACTGTCAGTATAAGTATAAGGCACGCCGGAGCTGCCCGAAGTCGCCGATGAGGCCGCAAGCAGGCCAGGCCAGGGCTTAGGGTTTTCAGTTCGGGGGGTGCGTTCAAGTGTTGAAGAAATTAGGGGTCGTGACGTCGCTATTTCACTAGGGCCACCTCGCTGAAATAAGGCTTTTATTTCATGGGGGCACTACGCAATTTCGGCGGTGACCTCGCTGACCTCGCTATAAGGTTCGCAGGTTTGGGGGGTTTAGGGTTTAGGCTCTAGGGTTTAGGGTTTAGGGTACGCCTAGAAGTCTCCAAACTATTATAAGCAACAAAGGGTCGGAGAAAACAAAAATGAACGTGACATTGATCTCGGGTAGCTAACTTGGGTTGAGGGTTTACGGTTTATAGGGTATAGGGTTTGGAGCTAAACGAAGGCGTTCTGTTACATTCACGAAGCCCTGTCACATGTGTTGTGTGCTCTGGTTTTCCGAGTTTGTTTCTTTTTATTGACAGTTCTTTGACCGTCAATAACCGCGCTTAGAGCCAACGGGCGCGAGGACTCTAACATCTGCCGAGGGCCACCAAGAACTGCATGTCATCCGACGATGTAACCCACAAGTGGCACGTAACAGCCCTGCTTCAATCGAGAGCTTCTTCCCACCGACTTGCTGAGGATTAAGATGTTTGGGAATGTTTTCAAGGAGGGATCCTGGCCCTGTCCAGCCAGCGCAGACAAAAGACAAGCCCTCATTCCAAGAACCAGGCCACAGAAAGGCTCATTGATCCGTGCCGAGTTCTCTTAACTCGGGTCCCTTTTTGGGTCCTGATGGTAAGGGTGCTGTGCTCTAGCAGGCGACGCAAAAAGGCGCCCTAATTCGAGAGCTACCCCCGTAGCACATGGGCATTGAAATCTTCTCATCCCCGAAGCTACAGCTCAGATGGAACAGCCGGTACTTTTCTGCTGCGCCACAGCCTGCGTCGAAAGGCGGGCAAGTCTCTGCGTCCCTCCTCCACATGCAGGAAATTTCGACCGAGCACTTTCTTGGGGCAGCTCCTGCACCCAGTTTTCACGGCTCCCGCCCCTGCATGGGTAGTCCCAATGCCGCAGACAAACAAGCAAAGGCGCATGTAACTGCACCACACATCCGGGCACAGCTGCAGCACATCGAACCCTCCACCGTTGTCGCGGACCCTTCCCAGAAAAAAAAATCTAGACACCCTCCATCCTACTCTTCGATGGAACAGAAACGCGCATCTAGCTTCGGAGTCCAGCTCCCCACGTCGTTTAGGTGAGAGGTAACCTACAAAGTGTGCAGCGCGGTGTCGGGTTCTTTGCCGACGTCGCCTTTGTCATCCCCAAGCCCCCAAGCATCCTTCTCGCCGGCATTGTGCTGCTCCGGTGTGACGGTGGTCTGCTCCACGTCCTCATCACTTATCCACGCTTGATGTCTGAAGGTGTCGCTTTGGGAAAATTCAAGGTTGTAGCTCACCAAGACGTGTCATTAACATAGGGGTGTCACTTCTCAGGTGTTCCCAACGCTTTACAGGGTTTTGTCCATTCATATCCACCCATTGCTTGCTTGGATGGCTGGGGGGTTTGACGTTTGCTCATATCACATTAGGAAACTCAAGCCCCGCAACCGAAACTTTGCCCATGCTAGCCAGCAGATGACTTGTTGCAGCAAACTTTTGAGGGGCGCACCCACCAAGCAGGGGCGAATGTCGGCATCGCCTGGGTCAGAGCGTCTGCAGTATGTTCTTCGCAATAGGCAAACACGCTGAACATCCCAGCGTCATATTCGCAAAGGGCTTGTGACAGTGCGTCTTGCTCCAACAGCGCGAAACATCCCTTTGCAGCATCTTATAAAACGAAGCACAAATGCGGCAAGTACTAGTGCTTTGGGCATGGTTGGAGTACCCTCGGGGCACAGACTACCAAATAGCTCAAGGGCTTTGTGGGCCAAACAAACTTGCGATATATATCCCCAACCTCTGAACGCAATCATGCACGCGCAGCTATTAACCATTGTAGAAAGTAATTAAATCTGATGAAGCCCTGGTGCCACATCTTGGTTGGGGCGAGTATGCAAACTGCAGCATCTTTCAACACAACACTGCCTGACTGGCGCCCAAGTGCCAAAGCCACTTTTCTTGTCGCGCATTTGGCTGCGTTAGGCATGCTTCAGCATACTAGAAGCCTCAGAACATCTTCCCGCCTGTCTTTGCTGGAAGACTTGATGGAAGCCCTTCAGGTCACTGATCAATATCTTTGGGTCCAAACATGATTGCCGACTAAGTAGGACTCTGACCAGCAGGGACACCCACCTCTGACGCTGAGGCCTGTCCAGTGCACGCACAACATCCCCAAGATGACTTGAGCACCTCCATAGCTGCGCCAGAGCCGCTTGGCTGATTTCGTCTACCCAGAGGTTCTCCATCCGGCCAAGCATGGCTTCTGCAATCACTTGCTGCACCCAAGGCAGACCACCTCTCACATAGTTGGTAACAATATGGTGCGCAGCTTTCCTCACAGATGCATCCACGTCGCAGCAGCGCTCAAGCAGGTCTCGAAGGTTTGCAACGACGATGCGGCGGGCATCACTCTCTGAGAAGTGGGTCTTTCTGGCACCTGCCAGCTTCATACACCACCAGCGACCTGGGATTTAGAAAGATGCAACACCCTTCCGCGAACAAACCTCAGGTCTGGGGAGCATGCGAAGAAACATCAGGTCGAGAGGCACTCAAAGTACTTCCTCTCGGCAGCATTTTTGCAGCCATCGGCATCGAAGGCTTCAGGGTCTCGGGCGCCATCGGTCAGTTTTGCAGAAAAATCGAGGATCGACTCCGACCTGCGAAAGCAGAAGCCATGGCGCATGACTCCCACGCACGTCGCCATGCAGCCAACTGCTTGCGCAGAAGATGCCAGGACTCACCCGCGCCTATCCAACCTACCCCATTTCCTCCAGGTGCTTGATCAATGCCTTAGGCTCAGGCTGCAGCACATTCATCCTAGCCGTCCAGAGGGCCAGCCATCTCGCACTATGCATTGAACCTTGCGCTGGGCGAAGTAACCGCACCAAGCTCCCTGCCTGAGGACTCGTGGCCTGCCGGGATGTCGCGCGACACTCGAGCATGTCATCCACCTTGGGGGGACGGGCAGTGAAACTGCCCCATCGAAGAGTTGTCAGGCCAGTACCAATCATTGCACGCCGCTACATGTCGCAGGCGAGGCGCGGTGAGGAACTGCAACAGATTGGGCCTCGAGCGGCGCGCTGGCCGGCTTCGTGCACAGTCCATGGGCTTGTTCCGTTGCGGATTCTTGCTGGGAGGCCAAGTGGCAAGACGAAGGATGATGGGTCTGACGGGTCCAGAGTTTTGGCCCCCATGGCCCCGCAAGCCATCGCCCGAGACTCTTTGTCTGCAGACCTCGGCTGCAACTGCTCCCCTGACAGAAGAATCTGGACAAAAACGTAAGCTTGCATGTAAGGAACAGCTCTATGTCCACCCCTGCCGCTAGGCAAGCTTCAGACGAGTGTCTGCGCATCTTGCTGCGATGGCACATTGTCTGGTCCTGCAGCAGCGTCCGCTGACTCTTGAGGCGACTCCTCTTCCTAGCAGTGGGGCGAGCAAGCACGGACCACTCAGCATCACGCCAGTGACACGCAGCCTGGCCTGCAAGGAGTCCAGACCTTCCGGACGTCCAGAGAAACTCTCTCTGCGCCTCAGCTTGGGCTACAGGTGGAAGGACAAACTCCAGTTTCCCAGAGCTTGAGCTGTGAAGCATGGCTGTAGCTGAGGAGAACGCCCCGTGCCCTTGCGTTTCCACATGAACTGCCTCATTCTTCCCTGCACCGGGCGGCGTCCTAGGAAGAGAGGAAGGCACGGACCTCAGGCCAACACACGGGGAATCTGACGCACCTTCAAGCAACGCCCCTAAGGGCCCAGTGCCTTGGGAGACCAAATTTGCCTTCTGAATCCCTGAGAGCCGCGCGTATCGCTCTCCGTGGAGCAGCTCATCGCAGCTGACGGAAGTACTGGAATCTGTGGAAGATCAAAGGGCCGCTCCGCTTCGTTGCGAACCGGATTTGCCCGGCACCTCGCTGCAGGCAGCTCAAACATAAGGGCAAAAAAAAAAGCTTTTGCGGCTTGGAAAGTGCAGGCAACGCCCGTGCATGTTAAAGGCCCAAAGCCTTGAAAGCCTGAACTGCAAAAAAGCCCTAACCATCATGGAAGAGGGGGGGGGTTATGGGGGGGGGTCTCGTCTTATTCCAGCCTTGATCTTAAAGGCGAAATAAGCCTGGATGGGCCAGGACACGGGGAATCCGGCGCACATCCCAATAACGCCCCTACCAAATTCAGCTATGCCGCAACCCCACAAAAGCAAGGCACCCACCTTCTGCATTCCCGCTTCAGTTTGTGGAATTAAGGAAAATGGGTCGGCACAATCCTTGCCGTCAAGTCACCGGCTATACTCGGCAGTCAGGCTTCCGGCTTCCTTGCAGAACGGATCCTGAAGATTGCGGCACACCGTTCCCTCCCCACACCTACTGCTGCCTTTTGAAAGGGCTGAGGGCTACCCAGGCTACACCACGTGCTCCACTAGAGATCTACGGCAAGCAAGGGCATCCAAGGCCTGCACTTCACTCCCCGCTTCAAGCAGCTCACTCGCCGATGCGCAGGTCGAAGCCAGGCTGAGCCGATCTTGGAGAGGCGGGTGCCTCCGCGCACGGCGAGGTGCGAAGGTAACAGCCCCATACTTGGAATCTGCCCTGTGCCTTATACTTGAGGGATCATGGGGCTTACCATCTAGTTGTAACACTTGTAGCATCTTGCAGCACTTCGCTTGAAACTTGAAAACACTTACGCACATCCAATCAGCGTACTTACGAGGTGCCACATGTGAGACTCAGGTAAATGCACATGGAGGCACACAGGATAGGTCACACATTTACAGGGATGCAACAGAAGTGCAAAATCCAATGACCGGACTGCGAATCTGAAGCCATGAAGATGTTCGCATACATGCTAAACAGATATCATGAGGCGTCTTGACAAAGCACACGCAACAAAGAGAAATAAACGAAAGGAACACTACAATGGGCAAACACAAGGATATGGTGGCCACATCCACAGCTGCAGAAAAGGACCAAGTGATTCAACAAGCCACACAGATTGAGTAAGATGGAGACAAGGGCTCTTACGTCACCAGCCGCGTAGCCTGCGCATGAATATATATATATATATATATATATGTATGCACCTATGTATGCGTGTATGTATGTATGTATGTATGCCTGCATGCATGCATGCATGTATGTATGTATGTATGCCGGTATGTAGGTATGTATGTATGTATGTATGCATGTTCTCTTGATTGGCTGCAGGGGGAGCCGGTATAGGTGGGGGGTCATCTTGCTTCAGACAGCTTGAGGAAACGCAAGTCATCACAGAGAAGAGGACGCAGATTCCCCCCGCCAAGCAGATGGGCTCATAGAGATCTCGAGATACAAGCACAAGCCTGACAAACACGTAGAGGATCCGGGAAAGTGCCACGCACAGGATCGAGAAAAAGGATAAAGATAGCTAGAGTTCATGCGGACTGCAAAACCTTGACGATCAAGTGAATCGAAGAGAAGGGCAGAGAAAGGCATTAGACGAACAGACGCAGACTGGAAAGAGTCATAAAGCGGGAGAAGGCGAGCGAGAAAGAGAGAGGGAGACGAAGGAAGATGGAGAGAGCCCACGCAAACAGAAAGAATATGAAAAAGGCAAGAACGGAAAGGGGAGAGAGCGACAGCAGAGAAGAACGAGAGCAGGAACGAAGAAGCAGGAAGAAGGATTGATGCAAAGGGAAAATTGGAAAACGGGAAAAAGTGAGAGCCAGAGATTGTACTTTCTTTCTATTGAGATTTTCAGGGCGGTTGAAGCAACATGTTCGGATATGAGCTTTCCTTATGCCCTTGTTCTCGGTGTGCTGCAACTACTAATCAGCACCTCTGGAGGACGCTGAGTTAAGTTAAATGTTTGCCACATCAAGCATGTATGCCAAATACCCTCTTCATGAGTTATGTAACTGTGCTAACTCTATCGAAATACATATCTTCCACCTAAAGAGTTTGTCCTATGTACATATGTTTCATGGTAAGCACTTGGTCACTTCACCAAATGCATATAAGCAACTCCTAGGACGTACCAAGTGCAAGTAATCACCTTGTCGAACGTGATGCACTCACTTATAAGTCATAATCAAGCAACTACCCCCGTGCAACTCGCTGATGCACATGCTAAAGTACTGCTGTACTATCGATAGGAACGTTATATCGTTATAACAACACGCTTGCATGTGGGTCTGCGCAGTCCAAGGCGCAGCGCTTCGGCAGCAGCCATGCCTGGCAGATGATGCTGGTGATCAGTGTGCGCCCATCCAGCACCCCAATCCATGGCTTTGATATGCTTTCATGACTGAAGTCTTCGATCCTGCAGCACGCCACCGGCCTCGGGCGCTTGGGGACCGAGGCGGCGTCGTCCGAAGATCAAGATCCGGCCTTGTCCAGAAGTAGAGCCGGCCAGCGGGTGGGTGGGGGCGTGTTACATGGCAAGACGGCTCTCCCTTCGACCTGTGCACGTTTGTCATGCACAGGCCGCGTGAGACCTAGACATTCGTCGAACGAAAAGCAACGGCTGCGTCCGAGTTGCTCTGTGCTGGCATCGGCCTCGTCTTCCACGTCCTGCCCCGCATTGTCTGGCGCGGATTGCACTCGCTC